CACATACGTGCGTATCTTTGAGTGTGTACAACAAACATTTGCATACACATGTGAAACGCGTATATGCATTTGTGTACACATATTTGTGCATTTTCTATATAGAGCTTATTTGCTTACTCGAATGCACAGAGAGTAAACTTATTTTCTTCAACTTTTCCTTTTTATTATTTTTTTACATTATTTTTTTTTTTTTTTTTTGTTTTTTAACTTAACTTTAATATTTGCGTTATCACATTTATCCCATTGATTTGTTTTATGTTATTTCATAATTATTTATTATTATTATCGAATTAAATTTCTTATTTATCATAGAGACTGTTTTCGATCGAATTCAGATACATTTATATTCTACGTATGTTCTTGACAATTTTTCTAAGTATGTTAAAATGAAATTTTTTACTATATTTTACTTTCATATGAGTTCTCCATTCCTTAACAATTTCGACTGATGATAATGTATTTTAAAGTATTTCGAATAATTTGTTTTTTTTTTTTTTTTTTTTTTTAAAGTAAATAAATTTAATTTTATTTTCTTCTTACCCCTCTAACCCGCCCTCTTCCTACGATTCGATTGCGTATGTATGTAAAATACTTAAAAATGAAATTTAAAAATTTTCTGGCATGACTTCACCTTTAGAGTATGTATGCGATTCTACGTCCTTACTCCTCGCGATCTGACCAGACCTAATCCACCCCCAACCTTTTTCTTACCATCGCACCCTGCTCGCCCAACCGCTATCCACGACCTCCAACCATTCATAACATACATACATATTAACATAAAAACATATCGATATTTATATATACCGTAGCAAATGCGGAAAATTTTGAAACTTTTACTCCATTGAAAACGGAACACGACGAGACATTTCAAGATCCCTTATTTTTAAAAGCTTAAAACTTTAGGCTTGAGTACGAAATAATTGTAAATACATTATTACTTTTAATTTTGTATATTACTTAAAACAAAAAATATATAAAATGCAAATAAAAAATTTAAAAAAAAAAAAAATAAAAAAAAAATAAAAAAAACCGAAGAAATGGAAGACATTCTTTGCGATTTTTTGAACATAAACTGCGTGGTTGCGTACAGTGGTCTCCATGGTAGATGTGGACAAAAAAAGATCTCAAAATAACAAAAGGAGAAATAGAAAATTTTAATCTATATATATTTACACATTACATATACATATATATGTATATGTAAAAGTACCTGCGATATCTCTTCCTTTATATTAATTAATACATCGCAAATATTACCGCTCCGCAATATTTGTTTGTAAAAGCTTTCTTTATCGTTTTGGGAGAAAATGTGTGTTAAGGATTCTCTTCATTGTTACACTTATATATTCCCCCACAATCCGTATCATACATGAATATAATAATAAATTAATGCTGAATAGAGATAAATTCAATAATGTTTTGTTAACGTAAAACAATTACAACTAATTTTTAGTTTTTATTTCCGCTTTCATTTCCTAAAAAAACTCATAAAACAATTGTGATGCATTTTTCTTGCTTTCCCGAACACCCTCCTCTATACAATTAGTTTTGCAAATAATTCGTAAGTAAATTTTGCTTACGCTTAACTACACTACGTAAATACCTACTACTAGCGTGGCAGTTAGATATTGAGAATCATATGAAAGGCAAGATTGTCTTGCAGACCGTCACTATACCTGACGATGTCTGCGGTTCGTTTTGTTGGACAGCGATAGCGTAATCATTGCATATTCTTATAAAAATCAATGTGTCGTTGATCTGTGTAAAAAGATTTCCAAGTGGGCTTATTTACGAAAATAGGAAGCATTCGCTTTGTTCGCTTTATGATTGTCCTGCTGGGATCGCAATCCGTTATACGTAAGCAATTAAAGTGAACCAACTCGATCGCCATCGCATACAATCAATATATTAGAAGATTCCATATAACTCTTTCAAGGCTTAAAATAGTAATAAATTTCGTAAATGAATTCGTTTAAATTACAATTCAATTGAATGCAATTGTTTTATGAGAAAGGTTAATTGCACCTATTAAATACAATTATATTATATAATTATTATTTATGTAATTTACTTATCGTTTATTGTTGTTTATTCACGATCACTTATCACAATATTTAGTTTGTTTGGCGTTTATGACATGTTGTTCAATGTTCACAGTTTTTATTAATGTTTTACATTGTATCCTATAACTGTTTATGCTCACTCACACACACATAAATACATATAACTCTATATAATCATTCATGCGTACGTGAGTCTGAGTGAGCAACGAAATTTAGGCTCCGCGCTGTGTAGAGTTTGTAATGTTGTCGCCAGACTGAGTACCATACAAATTCAACTACAACAAAACAGTGTTTTTACTTTTCTTTTTCTGTTTCCGTTTACGTTTCCGTTTCCGTTTCCGTTACCGTTACCGTTTCACTTTTTCCTTATTTATTTAATCGTTTTTCTTTCGAAAGCTAAATATTTTTACCATATATGTTTTCACTACAAAAATTTTCTTCTTCTTTCCAATTGTTTTTTCAAATTCAGTTCGTTTTCCCTTTTTAATTGATTTAATTTCGTTAACGATTGATTCAAAAAAAAAAAATAAAAATAAAAAAAATAAAAATAAAAGAAAAAAGAAAAACCCTAAAAAACCAAATAACCACAACAGAACATTAGTATCACCAAACCTGAACACAAATTTCGTAAATTTCAATTCAAAGCAAAACATTATTGTTAATCAAAAAATATTCAAAAGAAAAAAAAAAAAAAAAACTATAAAAGAAATTTAGATTAAAAAAAAAAAGAAAAGAAAAAGAACTAAATAATTAATTAACTGGAAAAAAAAAAAAAAAAAAAAACAAAGAAAAACATATTCATTGGAATCGACTGCAGACCCGGATTTCTATCGAAGAATTCATGTTTTAGCAATTCAATCAGTAGAATTTACCAAAGTCTTGAAAAATTTTGTGTTTTCCAAACAATTGCGTCAGCTATCGAAATATTTGACTTGTTCTGTTTGCAAAATTGAAAATTGAAAATTGAAACTTGTTTCAATTTGAATTGAGCTAAAAAGCACAGAATTTTTTTTGCCTTAGATATGTATAGACATTGATTGTTTTTTTGTCCTCCAACCCCGAACGTCTCCTTTCATAACTCTTTGTTTGTTGTTTTCTTCTTTGTATGTATGTACATCAGCATTAAAACAAAATGTCATATCCCCTTCAAATTTGTCGAAAAACAATTTTAGTGTTGTTTCCTCACCAACAGACACGCACACTAACATAAACACATCGTTGATAAAAGTTGTATGACCTACCCGCCTCTGTAGAATATTCAACTATCGTTTTTGACTTCCTTTATTATTTACATTTAACCGTTTGGTTTACATACACACCTACATCCATATTACACACTTGTCCTAAACTGACAATTGTACAATCAAATTCTATTTTATATTATAATAGTAGTCAGCGAATATTTGTAAACTCTCTCTACTTATGCTATATGTTTGTGACATTTTGTTCGCTCTTATTATTATTATTATTATTATTATTATTAATACTATTATTATTTTTATTATTATTATTTTTATTATTATTATATATTATATTTCTATTTTATATATATATATATATATTTATTTTTTATTATATGTTATTATTTATTTTTTACTATATTTATTATTATTTATTATATTTATTATTATTATTATTATTTTTATTATTATGTATTGTATTTATTATTAATATTCATTATTATTATTATTTACTATTATTTTTACTATTATTATTGTTTATATTTATTATTATTATTATTTATTATTATTTTTATTTATTTTTTTTTTTATATTTATTATTAATATTATTATTATTATTATTATTATTATTATTATTATTATTATTATTCAGTCTCTATCTATCTCTGCTATTCTCTTCCCGTTCTCTATATTTTTATAATTAATGTGAGTTCATTCTATGGTATCACTCTTTTAAGACAAGTACAGGTTTTGTAGTTGTCCTATCTCATATGGGTTTGGTATATATACTTCTTGACTTTCATCTGTTTTCAATTCTTTTTTTTTTTTTTTTTTTATATATATATATAATTCTCAACACATTACAGTAAATGTTGTTTTCAAACATCACATAGAAACGCTCAAAGTATTAGATAAGTCCCGTTTGTCCTAATCACACAAAGACACAAACACTTACAATAAGGCGTTAAAATATGTATTAACACTCTCACCTTGCACCAAATAATACGTAAACATATTTTAATTTGATTGATATCCATCCTATTGAACATATTCCATGAATCTTACGTCAAATATATCCGAGAATAGAGAATTTGAAACACACTTAGCATACACTGCGAGGATGTATCAATTACGCCAGCTCGTGCTTCATTTTTTTGTTTCTTACGCGATGAACACAAAACAAAAAAACAGCTCAAACAAATGTTTGATAAGTTTTATTAATTTTGTTTTTTTTTTTTTTTTTTTTTTTTTTTTTTTATTCCGAAATATTACCTTTTTTCTCTTCTCCCTTTTCAATTTCGCTCTCGATACATTTGTCACTTTGTTCGTAAAAAGAATTAACATAAAACGCCGAAAAGTAAAAGCAAAAACAAAAGCAACAGAGTCACCAACAACAATCCTTAGAGCAATAGAATGTATTCCCTTGATTTCATTAATAACAGAGGAAGTCTAAAAACAAGAAACGATTTTAAGCGTGCGATTAGGAGCGTGCTGTGCAGAACAGCTCTTGTCCTCATTTTCAAGTTATGCTTGCCTTCTGTTAGGTTCTGAGATTTTAAAGGAATGCGAAAATGTTACATTTTTCATAATTGTGTCTAATAATTAATTGTCAAGCAAAGCAAGGAACGTTTTGTTTCGTTCATTATGCTTGTATACGTTCTTGTTATATTCTGGATGTATGTAACAATATTGGAACCTGACCTATTGTTCGATTTCGGTGTTATTTTTTGTTGTTGTTATTTATCACACACAGGTGATCGCTGTGATATCGATATTGTTTATAGTCCTGTCTACCATAGCCCTGACGTTGAACACTCTACCACAACTACAACACCATGACAGTGACAATGGTACACCACAGGATAATCCACAATTGGCTATGGTTGAGGCGGTGTGTATATCGTGGTTTACCCTTGAGTATATACTTAGGTTTAGCGCGTCGCCGGACAAGTGGAAGTTTTTTAAGGGCGGCCTCAATATAATCGATCTATTGGCAATACTCCCCTATTTTGTTTCGCTCTTCCTGTTGGAGACGAACAAGAATGCAACGGACCAGTTCCAGGATGTGCGCCGGGTGGTGCAAGTTTTTCGCATCATGCGCATCCTGCGAATCCTTAAGCTGGCCCGTCACTCAACGGGCCTGCAGTCGTTAGGCTTTACGCTACGTAACTCGTACAAGGAACTCGGTCTACTAATGCTGTTCCTGGCTATGGGCGTTCTTATATTTTCTTCGCTGGCATATTTTGCCGAAAAGGATGAAAAGGATACAAAATTCGTTTCAATACCGGAAACATTTTGGTGGGCGGGTATTACAATGACAACTGTTGGCTACGGGGACATCTACCCCACTACTGCACTGGGAAAAGTTATTGGTACTGTGTGTTGCATATGCGGTGTTCTGGTAATCGCTTTGCCTATTCCCATCATCGTCAATAATTTCGCTGAATTTTACAAGAACCAAATGCGACGCGAGAAGGCGCTTAAACGGCGTGAGGCGCTCGATCGTGCCAAACGCGAGGGTAGCATTGTCTCCTTTCACCATATCAATCTGAAAGACGCATTTGCCAAATCCATGGATCTCATCGATGTGATTGTCGACACAGGTAAGCACAAAACAAATTATTGCACATTTCTTTCTCCTTCTCTCTATCTTTCTATTTTATTTATATTTATGTGCCTACTTATAGTTATTTCACTATCATTTTTAAAAACAAAACAATAAACTAAAAAAAAAAAATATGAAGCAATAAATATTTTAATTAATTTATGTTTTAACTTGTATTCGTAATCATTCAATACAATTTTATTCTATTCACCTCAAGCATAGAACCTAATACCTATTATCTGTTATGTATATATATATATATAATTTATATATGTGGTATCAACCATTCGGCAACACACTATAACCAATTAATAATATTCTGCAACACAATCATAGATAATTTAACTTCCTTTCATGACATCTCATGCACCTTAGACTCATACTATCCCACTGAACATATGTTCTTCGCTTTTTTTGCATTAATTCTCTGGCTCATTATCAACCGTTACGTAAACATACCTCATAAGTAAGTGTCTCCGTCTTTCCGAAAAAAAAAAAAAAAAAAAAAAAAAACATACCTTTAGGAACAGTTGAAATCGTGCCGTAGGCTTTTGTTGTGTGACTTCGATCCAGGAAGCATTCACGTAAGGCTATAAATAACATCTTTACCCGTACTACTGAGCAATGCAAAATTATAATTTTAGTTTGATACAAAATGGACACATACCACTGCGTTAGTAAGCGTTTCTCGTTTACGCAACAATTTGGTCCTCTATCCGAGGTCCGTTTTTTTTTTTTTTGCAATTTGAGACAAACGATAAAAACTTCCCTGATACCTAATTGGTTCAATTTACCAGGATAAGATTAAAAATTGAAGTGATTCATGTACAAATATATCATCTTGGGGGTATTTCGAAATTGAATATAAAAATAGTAGCTAAACTCAATGATGAACGAAAGAGGAGCAGAAAGCTAAGCGTGCCCTTAAGCTGTTTAAAGAGGCACTAGGCACTCTCCAAAGTCACCTAACTGACGAAAAGACGATAGCTCTTACTCGGTAAGAATAAGCGATGACTACGAAAAGACGTGACTAATTGCTGAAAGATTAAAACGCGACTAAAAACTAATTAAATAGAATTTTGATTAAATAATAAGAGACTACATAACCGAGAAGAAAAATAAGATACAAGCTAGAGCAGTCCGAGTAGCTAGATAGATATTAAACTATCTAAGAAGGGAAAAACTGCTAGATGGCATGTCGTACTTAAGCGAAAACTAAATTTATTGAAAGTATTCCTTCGACGGAGTATTAAGTACAAGTTTTATGAGGATAATATTAAGGAAGTAAGTAGAAAGAAAGAAAAATATAGCCCGGAACCATTGCTGGTTTCATCCAAAGGATCTGTTTTCTCGTCTCGTGTTATATATAGCGTATTACTAAATCAGTAATAAATTGTCAATCCCAATAGGTATCCCAAACTTAAGTAAAATATATATAGTTTGTAGCGGTAGATTAAAAATTGGGCACAAGTCCAATATGAAACATACCCTCCTTTCACCCATTTCTCACCCGTTCTCTTTCTCTCTCTTTTTTTTTTCTTTCTTTCACTTTCTGTATATCTATCTATCTATTTATCTATCTGTCTATCTATCTGTCTATCTATCTCATGTAAACACATCGTGCTTCCTTTTTCCTTCTTGGTTTGTTTAAATAAAATCTTAGCTGCATGTCTGCTCGGTTTGGCTTCATTTTTGTTAAATGTTCAAATTGTGAATTGTGTTTCACCATTATTTAGTGAATAGTCTTGATTTTGTCCCTGGTTATCTTACTTCTTATCTGAAAACAATTAATTCGGTATTCGACTTGGAAACATATTTTTCAGTTCAAAGGGATCTCAGTAATGATAGAAATTCCCAAACAAATTTTTTTTTTTAAATACTCCATTCAGTATATACCTATTTAGAATATTAATATATAGAAAAAATTATTTTGTAAAACTTGTAGCTTTCTTGTATAAAAATTTATTGTTTCATTATAACAGTTTTATAACAATTTAAACTTAATTATCTCTAATTATTTTAAGTTAGCAGTTCATTGTATGAAATTTTTTATACATATTTACAAATAGCTGATATATGATTAGCCAAACATCCATCAAAATGTTCTTCATCTAAGAGTAATTATTTTCCAAAGCACTGCGTTGTTTTGCACGTTAAATTTATATCGTTTTCATTTGATGTCTCGATGGCAATACGGTAAACAATTGCGTTTCATTGGCAATAGCCAATCACTAACGCAATAATTTATATATTTTAGTATTGTTTAATATCAATTTTGACATTGCTTCAAAATGTCTACAAACGAAACTTTACGATGAATGTTTTATAATAGTAGACCCATCAAAGTCAAACGGGATAAGACCGCTTCATAAGAGAATGGAGGGAATTGCACGGCATTGTGGCATTTTCTTAGCTCAAGGACATTAAAACTTATCAATCAAGGTATAAGCAAAAAAATTCTCCTTCATTTCAGCAAAGCCTCTTCTCTATATGACTGTCTTTGTTTGAAGTAAGTTCGGTTCGTTTTCTGGAAAAACAAAACAAAAAAAAAAAAACAAAACAAAACAAAAAAAGGCATAGTTTTACGTTTAACTATTAAACCGGTTTATCCGTTAATATATGTAAGAGAAAATAGTTATATATTGACGCGCCTTAAGTCGAATGTTTTTATTACCCGCCATTAGCTTTCACACGATATTCGATTTGGTTTGGTTGGCAAGTTAAAGCGATAGTCTATACAGTCTATACCGATCATACATCGCATAGTATATATCATATAGGAAATAATTTGTTTGGACAAATTGACAGTGCTTCGTATGTAAATTTATTATATCAACTAAACTCGGTGCTTATGGTGTTCCAACTAATCTAAAACAAGTAAAAATTTTATAATTTTAAAAAGTGGAAGGAAGTAATAGAATGGCAAAAAGAAAATTTATTAACAGTTTCTTTCGGTATCAATCAAGCTGAATGGATGCTTATATGCATTGCAAACGTTAGACAAATTTAATATAGTGTTGTTGAGAGCACAATTGATATTTCAATAAAGCAAGTAGTAAAGTAGTATGCTTAGCGATCGAAATCATTTTTCATTGTCTTCTCTGATGATCGATATACTTTTGAAGTATACGTTTATAGAGTTTTTCTATATCTAATACGATGGCGTCCAAAACAGTTCTCTTTCATTCTGCAAGTCATTATTTATACTAATTTTTCGTTCAATAACATAAAGAATCGCAATCGCAGCCAGGTAATCAAATATCGCATCAATCCTATGTTTTTTTGGGTACTCGCAAGACCAATAATTTTGGACGGCCTTGTTTAAAAGCATTCTTTACAAATTATTTATACGTTATTGAGTTCATTAAATCGATGATATATTGTATAATGGCCGCATACAAAATATCGTCATCAAAATTCAAAATAAATTGTATACTGCGCCATTGTCAAATTAATGCCAGGATAGTTACGCGTTTTAGTGAAATATGCGGGCTAAGCTAGTAAATTGATATCAGGGACGCTCTGATCAGATGAAACCAGGTGGAAAACGCATAGCGGAGGAGAAGTTAAACTCTATGTCGGAAATGTCGGAAACGTGGGATACAAATCACCTCGTAACCAGTCAATACATTCATTCAACTGTCTGTGTCTGCTGCAAGCCGCGCCCTAGGTCAGTGTGAAATTAACAATGTCAACAAAGCGAAGAAAGATCTGCTTAAGATATGATTCTAAAGAACAAACAAAAAAATTATTTCAAATTTCAAATTTGAAATTTTTTTTTTTTTTTTTAATTATATAGAAAACAGAAACAAATCTTCCTATCACTCTCATAAATAGCATTGCTATGCAAGTTGTTAATCTCATCAAAAAAAGGCTAAGATGTGCGGCTAGCATACATGCAGTAAATTCAAAAAAAAAACAAAAAAAAAAACGAAGTGATGCTAAGCTCTACAAAAGAGTTACATATGTTTTACAAAGTCAGGTGCTTCGGCCTTATACTTATATTATCATCAAAACTAAAACGAATAAACGAATGATTTAAGTATCCCCCCCTCCCGCCACGCCATTCCAAAATTATTCGCATTGTAACTTGTGTCTTTATATATATATATACATTTTTTTTTTTTTTTTTTTTGATGGCCTGTAGTAAATTTCTTTGATGGATGTTTAAACTACAATAAATTATCATAAATTTTAGTTATTATGATTAATTAAAAACTTAAAAAAAAACACAAAAAAAAAAATTATAAGAATAATAATCATTCTTTTACTTATAATTTTAATTATATGTTTTTTCTTTTTTTATAATAAATCAATTAATTGAGAAAATAATTTATTTTTCATTTTACTTTATAAGTTAATTTTATAAGTAAATTAATTAATACATGCATATCTGTGTATATGTACGTGCATAAATTATGTTAAAATCTAAAACTAGCTATGGCAGTATGTACACAAAATATACACACATATATATGTACAGATCGTATATATATATATATATATATATATATATATATTTATTTTCGAAAAATAAAACATTCCTTTAGCATATAACCCGATTTATTAGCGAAGGTTATTACAAACGCACTAAAAATTTATGTACACAAAATCGTAGCTCACGGCTGATGAATAAAAACCAAATTTCTTTTTATTATTTGATTATAAATAATAAATTCACTTAATTATATACATATATATATATATATAGATAGATAACGTAGAGGAAGTGCCGCGTGCGTTAGTAAAATTATTATTATTTTTGATCTCCTCTCAACGGTGTATATCAAAATCCAATGAATATAGAAACTGCTTCTTCCAAGTTGCACCTCCCAGCCAACCAATCAGGCAACCAAAAGCTATATATGCCAAACCATCAACTAATAACAATAATAACAATAATACTAATAATAATAATAATAATAATAAGAACAATAATAATAAACATTATGCAAACAACCTTAGAAAAGATATAACAATACACACACACACATACACACATACCGCAATTAAGAGACAAGGGCTATCTATGAATACCTTTTGCTATATTATTTACTTTTTTTAGGCAAACAAACCAATGTCGTACATCCGAAAGATAAAAACAATAAAACGACAGCGAGTGTAGGAAAACAACCACTAAGTTCTCTAATGTCAGGTGAATAACAACAATTTACACTTAAGAACAACAACAATAATAATAATAATAGTTAATCGACACCAAGCAAAATGCAAATTCAATTTAATCGCACACACTTGCATCATTTGCCATTGCGCGAAAAAGTCTAGACCAGCTTCCGCGATAACGATGGTTATATCAAAAAAAAAAAAAAGAAATTCATAAATAAATAAATAAAACAATACAAGCAAAAGCAAGAAAAAGAACGGAACCAATCACTTTTATGCAACATTAAACTTTTTTATCAATTCCTTCTCACTTTTCTACCAATAAATATTAGAAAAAAAAAAGTAAAAATAAAAAATAAGCAAAAAAAAAAAAAAACATCATCAGAACTCATCAAATAAGTAAAACCCATACAATAGATGCTCTGTACATATACACAGATAGAAAATCCATATTTACGCCACATATGCGAAATATACGAATATTTAAATATTTTAATATTCAGTTAACAAGCTGAACATTCACACATTGCACATACACACACACACACACACATATATATATATATGTATATATATATACATGCATACATACATACATACACACACATATATATATATATATACAGAGTTATGCATATATATCTTTATAATATTACTTTTAATAATCGAAATTCTATTCTTTGCGAACACATAGCCGCCTTATGACAAACAATAAATGTCTAGTTTCGCGAAATACAAACGCATATATACATCGCATATGTATGTATATGGGTTGATAACGTGAAATTGCCCACGTACATGAACATTAAATACATCATAGTATACAAACCACTATACTAATCAGATTCGAAACACGAATACTACGAGAAGAGAATAAGCTATTCATTAAAAATGCATTATTTTCATATATAAAATATATATAAATATATAGATATCTATTTTATTTATTTATTTATTTTTTTTTTTTTTTGTTTTTTTTTTTTGTATTATTCTCTCTTCATATAATATAGATGAATATGTTTGGAAGAAGGTGTTAATAAGAAAAGAAGAACATTGGCTCATTTATCTAAAAATCAATAAGTTATCTATCGGGCAAGGTCGATCTTTAAATACCACCTTACACCACTTATCCTACTACAATTTTTCATTTGTTTTCGTAATCAAATACCAGCAATACTAGGCCTTTATAGGAACTCTCATATGGGAGGAGGTCCAAAACATAAGCCAAGCTTATCTACCTATTTTTGTCGTAAAGTATTTGTTGCCAAGCAAAGACTTGACTTTACTGAGTATCCGTATGTAAGATGGGATCCGAAAAATGGACTTGCATTAGCCAAATATGATGCAGTTAATTTTTACGCCAAATTACAACTATAGAGTAATTGTCATCATAATCTATTAAGAGAGAGACCTTTTTGCCATGTAAAGGCTTAGTTGTCATCATAAATTTTATGCGGCAGAAGGAGGTATAAAAAATAGACATCCATGGTCCAAATTTGTATAGTGTTCACACAATAATTTATTGCGATTATTCACCAATTTTTGGTAACAAATCTTTAATAATTCAGTTTTTTTAATATACCAATGCCATGAAAAATGAACCGAACCGATCAGGTCAGTGTACTAAATTTCATCAAAATATTTTGAAAATTTCGACCTGTAGGCTGAATACAAAGTATATTAACAAACATCAGAGAAGCAAATGGACAGACAAGCTTAAATTGGTTCAGAAAATTATTCAGAAACTTATTTAGAATCAGTAAGTGTAATAAAACGTACGTCCTTCGTAAGCCCTTCTAGGTATTACATACATCCACAAGGAGAAGAGTATGTACCCTGTATCACAAGTGGTGTAGGGTATAAAAAGGAGCTCGATTAGTGGTTTTAATGTAATAATTTTATAAGTCCATGCAAATATAGACTCTTTTTAGTGAAAAAGTTCAAAATTGCATGTAATCTATATTCGTTCGATTTTCTCCACTGCAAGAATAATGCGAATTTTGCATTCGTCTTTTCAGCTTGTTCATTGCACATAGGTACATGAGGGAGAAGGCGATATGATATTTACTTGTGTTAAGCAAGAAAATATTCAAAGTTCAAAGTTATTTGTAAATTTTCACAAAACTGGGACCGATGCGTAAATCTTGATGATGTTTACCGCCTTCTCCATAAATCGGTTATTTTTACTTAAACGACCGGAGGTACATTAAATTTTACAATTTGCTATTAACGCATTAAAACACGCTTTGACGGTCCACAAAATCGATGGGAGGACGCCCTAAAATGTTCCCGAAGACGGGGCGTAAATAACACTACAGAATCCAAAATAAAATTATGAGCTCTGTTTATTTTAAAGCACGTGCTTAAGTTTTACATAGTGGTATAAATTATCCTATTCGAAGCTACGTAACGTAACTTTGTGGAGCTTTGAATAGATATCTTGGAAAAAACGCCATTTGCACAAAGCGTGCGCTTTCTCTTCAAGTCCAAGCATAGTGTCGCTGAATCGTGGACGGTAGTATGTACTGCAAGCAAGTTGCATTATGCGAATATATGAAAAATGTTAGTTGAAAAGCCTGCTATCAAAAACAACTGATCCCTTCGAGTCGAAAAACGACTGCAATATGGCAAAAGTCAAGGTATCACAGAGTGTCAGAATAATGAGTTTCGGTCCTTGTAGAAAAACTTGTTCACAAGCAGTACTGACCTGGAGTCTATTACTCCCCTCAGAAAGCAGAAACTACATTAGAAGGACATAAGGGATATAAGGGCAGGGATGAAAGATCAAAATTGATGGCAGTTTTTTTGTCTATCACAATCGTGCGAATGAGTTTGAAAAGGAGCAAAGTTCAGCATTGAAGTGGAAATTTGTTGTTTTTTCCTTTTAAAGATTGAAAGATATCTTGAAATTTTCATTTAAATATATTTCTATGTTAGGTTTGGAAATAAGCTCAATTGCCCGAAGAGTTCACTTCCAATTTGCCAACGACACATATATAAGTAAAGCCGTTAAGTAAAGTTATGGATATCAAAAAAATGTGACTTAAATATGTTTTTATTGATGAGATAGGAGGGATAATTTTCCTTTTGTTAGACAGACCAAGTTCCTAATTTGACAATCACGCAATTGAAAATTACTAAAGAGAGCACTTGGAGAGCAGGATATTTGAACAATAGGATGAACGTTGGTGTAGTTCAAAGCGTATTATTTACTCGCTATATTTATTGAAATATCACTTCACCATTGCACAGAATGGCGTTTCATTGTCACTATATACTCTAAGCTTGATTGTAATTCAGTATCGACTACGTCGACTAGCCATTGCAATAAAAACACTGTCGCTTGTTTTTTTGCTGCAAGTAATCTTGTTATTTTACTAAAGTCAAATAACAGCAAATGGGCAGAAACAACAAATAAAGAATTTAAAAAGAAATGACAGTCCGTTTAACTATGCCTGACGCAATCTTGATATGTGATATGTGAAGTTTTTTTTCCGTGCAGCATAACAACATCGAAATCATTTAATTCGAACGCGATAATCTTTATCCTTAGTCGGAATTACACAACTTTTTTTTCAATCAAACAACATGTAGAAATGTCCATCTGATAGCGCCTGATCAAAGGTGAATAATCTGAACGAAGGTGCACGACCCTCACAAAAGTCTCGCAATTTTATTCTAATTCTTTGAATTACCGCAGAAACGTTTACTCCTACGTCAACGTTAGAACAAATTTTGGAATACGTTATTCGAAGGGCAGAATTAATGTAAAATTATGTGGAAATTTACTTCAATGACGTCTCTAGCTGTCGCACATAACATAAGTAAATTATTTATCATATCGCCCTCTTACGTGGGTAATTTTATATAACAAAAGTTACGAAGAAGCAAAAATACCTTTTTCCTATATATATTATATATATATATATATATATATATATATATATATCCTATCATACTGAGTTCTCAAGTTTATTTTACAATGGCAATCAATTGAATTTAAACATTTTTATAAAAATTCATATTTTAGTTTTGCATCGTTGCAAATGCATTCGGTGTTAATCTAGGAGGTATTTACTTTATCGGATCTAAACAAAATTGACAAAGTTGATGTTCGTTTTTTTCGCCCAAGACATTCGTACCGGAGACGTTGTCCTCTTGACGTAACAACGTAACGCAGTTCCCTCTAAAATGGTTTACAATAATTAACGTTCTTTTCGTTTCTTTCTCTTACATATATTTTTCATTTTCTCTTATTGTCCACCATTTCTTTGCTTTCTTTTTCTTATCGTTCGTTTTTGTTTTTGTACTATTGTTACTTCACCATATCCGAACTTATGTTAAAGTTCCAAATACCAGTTCGTCACATATTTGGCTGCATAAAATATAAATTGAAAAAATTATTTATTTTCGTTTCAATTGATGAAGCGCGAGTTTTGTTTTGTAGCATTTTTCGCATTAATGTGCTGAACGCTTGTTAGCATTTATTTAAAAACGTTATTATATTTTCCGTTGACTATTTTGTACATATTTGGCGAATTTTTGCATCAAAAAAAAAAAAAAAAAAAAAAAAAAAAAAAAAAAAAAAAAAAAT